CAGCTAGATCAGAGAACTGAGAATTCAGTTCTACTTGGAGAGCTGCCTCTGACTTGCTGTCACTTAGGGTATGTCATTTAACCTCTTGGTGCTGCTGTTTTATTGAATATAAAATCATAACCTCCCACCTAGTTAAGTAAATGTTGGATTTAAGGGTCTCTAAGCACTCTGCAAAGTACTTGCTTTGCATAAAATTTCATGTCGTATTGCAGCATGAATGACTAAAGCTACTCTATAATCTACTGCACATTGCATTCAATCACTGCTACTTAGGAGTATGTTCATAAGTCTAGAGTAGGTTTGTGTTTTTAAGGAGAGAGGAGAGGAAAAAAAACAGCAGTTGACTCCCATTTCTGCTGGACTGTCTAGAGTATCTCTAACTTATCAGAGGGGTAGCCATGTTAGTCAGGATCTGTAAAAAAGCAACAGAGTCCTGTGGCACCTTATAGACTAACAGACGTATTGGAGCATAAGCTTTCATGGGTGAATACCCACTTCATCAGACGCATGTTTTGAAGTGGGTATTCACCCACGAAAGTTTATGCTCCAATACGTCTGTTAGTCTATAAGGTGCCACAGGACTCTGTCGCGGTCTCTAACTTAGTCCTCCTTTCATTTATATAGCAGTCTCTTTTGTGTGTGCTAGGGATTCTGCAAAGATGTTAGGTTCCTACTACGAATAGTTTAATCTAGGACTAAGCACACAAGGGATTCAAATACATAAGCAGATGAGGTGAGCGAAGCACTGTCTAGTGGGTACTGTGTTGGGACCCCGTGCTTCATGGTGGTTCTCTTGTGCTTCTGGAAGGTCTGGCAGTCCAGCAATGGTTTAGTCCCTCTTGTCTGACTTGCCTCCATGCAGAGAGGAGGTGCGACACATTGTCTGACTGCCAGCCATTCCAAGTGCTTTCCTAGATGAGGTAAACCACAATTCCTTTCCCTCTGCTGATTCCTTACACATGGAGTCTAGCCCCATGTTAAGCAGGGTTTAAATGGAATTAGCTCCCTTTCTCCTGCAGTACCACCCTATAGTCAGTCTTCCTATGCTGCAAAGGAGTTCAAAGTGCAGATTCCTGGGCTGTCCACACTATTGCTTTTATACTCTCCTTCTAGGAGGAAACAGGAGGCCATACAGGCTACTCCTTGGAGTCCTTGGGTCTACTCTCTTCAGAATTTCAACTTCTTGGGGACACTATTCTTCAGAGGAGGAGCTAGACAGGGGTGTCAAACTTGTTCTTAGTGCTGAATGCTGCTTGTAGTCTGAATCGCATTAGGATGGCTTGACTTGCAACCATAAGAATGTAAACTTTGCCAATTAAAACCATAAGTTTGGCAGACTGATACCATGTGCATGGGGTAGAAGTAAAGGGCAAGTCCTTTTGCGTTTCCCCGCTTCCTCAGAATTTAATGTTCATATATTCCCTCCCTCTTGTGTTTGTAGAACTGATCAGCTTCAAGCGGAAGAGAATAGCAGCCTTTCGTAAAAATCTAATTGAAATGGCTGAGCTGGAAATCAAGCATGGGAAGGTAAGAACCCTCTCCCTAATGTAAAGTGCACAGCTGTAACACCACATCTGGGACCACATAAACTCCCAAACCTTTCTCCTGGTGAAATTGCTTTTTTACTCTGGTTGCACATTAGAGGATTGTTCTTTCCTTGTAAAGCTAAGAAATTACATGCAAAACAATCTTTTAAAAAGGCTAAGTTTGAGTCCAGTACTAAAACTAGGAAAAGCCAGATTGGGTTGGCCCCTGTGTGTATGATGATAGTCTTTAATTACATGATTGCATACTAATTTTTTTTCAACAGGCCTCTGCAGTATTCTGTATGGAGGATGCTCAGGGATTGAATATCCCGTACGGATAATGAGGCAGCTTGTAGGACCCCTGCCTCATTCGCTGGAGTAGTTGAAAGGTGTAGAGAATGCTGCAGGAAGAAGATAGGACCCAGTTCTCCTGGGTCTCTTCCACAGACTCTCTGTGCAGCGGCACAATCACTTAAATTCAGAGGTGGCCACTGTGTTCCTCATCTTCTGAGAGCCCAGCTTGAAACACCTGAGGCCTCATTCATGAGTGCTGAGCACTCAGACCTCCAAATAGTCCATGGGAGCTGCAAATGCTCAGCGCCTCTGAATAATCAGACTGCAGGTATCTCATGTTGGGCATTAATCATTCAGGCACCCACAGTTAGTGGACACTTGCAAATCCTGGCCTTGAATCTCCCTGTGCCCCAGTTCCCCAGCTGTAAAATGGGGAGGGTACTTCCCATCTCATAAGTTGCACAGACGATCTTGCAAATGCTTGTTCTATAGTGAGCACTGAATGAGATGGACCCTGTGGGTGGACGAGGATAGTATGTGACCTCATAATTAAGGACTCTATATGCACATTTCAAGAGGCAGAATTAAGGTTGATTGTGCAACCTTAATTTTGGCACTTCCTAACTTGTTTGCTTGTCTGTGCAACCTTAGCATCCTTCTAGTGGTCTTTGTAGTGATGATACTAAATGTAGCTTTCAGACAGAGTCCAGAAAATTCAGCCTTTTCATTTTTGAGAGCATCAAAAGTGCTAAGCTCACTTGTTTCCAGAGTGTGAGAATTAATTTGGTGCCTGTTTTTGATCCCACGCTTCTCACTGAGAATTAACTGTCTTCCCTTCCAGAACAATGTCTCTCTCCTGCAAAGCTGCATCGACTTGTTCAAGAACTAAGGCGCCTTAATCGGAAAGAATGTGAAAAACCAGTATCAGTTGCACTCCACAGCCATGGGAAAATTTATATTTCGCTTGACTTCATTTGGTTAAAATATATAAATAAAGACATTGTCTCAAACATTTTGTTTGACTAATACTTAACCATGTTGATGCCAATGTATTGGCTTCCATGGTATAAATGAAAGCTGAATTGCTTATGAATTACTTGGATGTAGCCAATTTCCTGTTGAGAGTTAATATCTCAAGGTGGGCAAAAAGTAAAAGTACTAGATTCCAGAATGTTGACCAGTTTTCTAATGATAAAAAGGGGCAATTCTCTCCAAGGGTGAATGAAATGTAGGTGGTATTGCAATCTTCTCTGTAGCCTAAACTATTTTAAAGAAGTTCATATTTGGGAGGGTCTTGTGTACATTAAGCAATTTTATAAGGTAAAATACATTCCACTTCATAGACAGATTTCTACTACAGTGTATTTTGGATTTCTATATCTACATTCAGTATTTGTACACTCAGCAATACAGCAAAAATAAAGATGTCTAATACTATGAAGTGTGTTTCTATAAACTAAATGGCCTTGTATAATCATCTGTATATGGGATTTTAAACCCCCACGTAGTTTAGGGGAAGATTGTTTTCATATCATGAAAACCTGTTGCACACTGAATATCTAACCTGAATGATTGTTGCAATTAAAGGCAAAAATAAGACTGAAGTTGGTACAGCTGCTTATGGTCTGATGATCTTCTTACAAAGTAACATTTAAAAAAAAATTGCACAACACAATCCAATAGGAAACCTTCGTTTTTTTTTTTTTTTTTGAGACTCTTGAACTAAAATGGCTGGTAGACTTGATCTCCTGCCTTGAAGATCTGCTTTCTTGCTGTACTTTGCATCCTGGCACTTTCCTTTTCTCTAACTGGTAGCTGAGCTCAGGTTGCTTGTCCTAAAGAAATACAACATCTCAGTATGCTCTGAGTGGCAGGTGAATTGGGTATTGTCAGTGCAAGGATGGGCAAATTGATCTCTCATGGGACAACCTTCTCTTGTAAACATCTGAATTTCATTATGCCACCATATACTTTGTGCCTGTATCGTGTTTTTCATCCGTGCTTTATGAAAGAGTAATATCATTGTCCCCATTTTACAGATGGGGAAAACTGAGGCATGGGGCTATGACATGCCTTGCCCACTGTCCTCCAACAGGCAAGTGGCAGAGGTGGGAAGAGAACCCAGGTCTCCAGAGTTCCAATCCAGTCGCTTTAATTTTAATCAACCACCACATGACCTAGGCAGGATCAGTTTAGCTGGGCAGTAAGTGTGGCCCTGTCTAAAATGCAGTTGGCTAGTCATAGAACTAGCCACCCTCCTTTCCCTGTCCTGTTGCTACATCCTGTTCTTGTGTCCCTGCCTTGATCCAGCAATAGTCCTTTCACCTTTCCAAGATGGGTAGAAACTAACACAACAGGCAGTCCAACAGATCTGCTCTGTTGCTTATCCAATAGGCCCTAGAGCAGGACTGGCGCCTCGTTCTAGGTGCTGCCTTAAGACAGTGTTGCTGCCTTGAAGTCTGATAACATGGAGTAAGTAAGTATAGCGCTGCTGGGTAGGGGGGGGGGTATAGGAAAGGATAAGGGAAGTCCTAAAATGGGCAAAGTATCTGTACACAACTTCTTTTAAAGAAGGAAAATAGACTTGCATGGTCTGTGCTGGCTTATGAATAGAGGCTGAGTAGTCTCTCAAAGCCTGCTTTACTCTTATTATAAAGTCAAGGTTTCATGACACACCAGTCATCAGTAAAACACAAGGCCTATCCACTACACCGCCTGTAGCCACAGCTCCTCTAGCTGCAACTGTTTTGTGACCTCTGGCAAGAGCTGAAGTTGCTAGCTTCTGACGCTGTCCAAGAGGTTTCCAGGGAAGTGGGACAACAGTACTATCCCCAATGTATCTCTGCTTTTCTGTAAGGTTCTGGCTAAACCTTTCTCCAGCCCTCTCCTGTGTGGGCTCCTGCTGTGGATTTTAAGAAACACTACACTGCCCTCTTTAACCCACTTCTTTCCTCTGTAAACTATCTTTAGCAAGAACTAGTATTTAAAACTGTAGATCTAAGTGAGTCAGTGGGGTCAGTAATTGTCTAGAGCGGGTGGCCTTGGTGGGTTTTAGCCAGTTGGTTCATGTCAAAATAGTAGACTCCTGTGAAGTAGCATTGATGCTCAATCACCATGGTTATCTCCTTTCTCTCAGGCTCCTGCAGGAGTTCCATTAGGTTACAGGATTCTGTTTCTTCTGCCTAGATCACTTTGATCAGACTAAACCATGTAGGGTCTCTGTCTGCAGTTCCTTCCTATGGTAAAAGCTACAGCTGTCCAATACTTTCCCATCAGTTTGATTTGGGAGGGGGTTTTCTGTCTCAAGTTTGGGTATATTTCAGGCTCCATTGTGACTTAGGCCATGTCTACAGAGCACTTACATAGGCAAAACTCTTGTTGCCCAGGGGTGTGAAAGAACACCCCCACCCCCCGGCAATATAAGTTTTGCGGGCATAAGTGCTCGTGCACACAGCGCTACGTTGGCAGGAGACTCTCCCACTGACGTAACTGCCACTGTTCGTTGAGCTGGTTTTATTGTGTCTATGGGAGAGTTCTCCTGTCGGTATAATGTGGCTACATGAGCAATCTTACAGCGGCACAGCTGTCAGCTTGGAAGTGTACACATGGCTTTAGACTAAGCCTAAAGGTCATGTCGTGTCTTGGCCTCCCATCCTCTAAAGCAGGGACCCCTTGCTGGGAAGACTTATATAGTTTGCAACAGTTTTCCAAGCTCCCAGCCCCCAAGTAGTTCATCTGGGCAACCTCTTGCAACCAAGGGAGTGACCCTGTCAGAATTGACAATGGGGCTGTGTGTTGGAGAATTCATAGCAGTCTATACTGCTTTTTCCCTTGTGCTTGGGGGTGGTAGGGGCTAGCAGTGATAGGTTTGAAAACCTATGGGTCCCACCAGCTGACCACCTAGAGCTGGTGAAATAGCCTGACAAAGGTGTCTTGAAACACTTCTGTCACCAGCTGAATTGTGGGGCCAGTGGAAAAACAGATTTACCAGGAAAAGTAGCCATTGGCTGGCCATGTCATCTTTCTGTAACCACCTTAGTCTCTGAAATAATACCCTATCTATCCCTCTCTCCCTCCCCAAAAGCAACCTGCAAGCAATAGTTCCTGGACTCTAGTGGGGTGGGAGATGTGGGGGAGCTGAAGGAGTGGGGCCCTCACTGGTCTGGATGGATGCTGGACTGCCAGATGATTCACCTCCTGCCCCACAGCCCTCAAGGGGAGTGGTCAGTTGCAGATCAGGCTGTGGGCCTACCCTGAGCTGCATGTGTCCACCTTTAGAGGTCTCTGCTTGGTGGCCAGCAGTCTGCGGCTGGGACAAGTGAGTACAGTATATGCAGTGACTCTGCAGAGCAATAGCAGCCAGTAGAGGGTGCTATTGTATTTTTTTTTTCTGAGAGGATCTTGAGATGTGCGTGTGCAGATGCTCTGTGCTCCCAGCACCTCACTCCATATACAGTACCCTGTTTCCCCGAAAATAAGACCTACTTCCAGTTTTGCCTCTCGCTGTAATATAAGACATCCCCTGAAAATAAGACCTCCCCAATAATAAGGCCACCCCGGAATATAAGGCCCTGAAGCTCCAGGAAAAATAAGACCTCCCCTGAAAATAAGACCTAGTGCATCTTTGGGAGCAAAAATTAATATAAGACACTATCTTATTTTTGGGGAAACACGGTATGTACCTATAGGGAGGGAGCTGACCAGCTTTCAGGCCAGTGAAGGGCACTAGTTCTCCAGCAAATACCCACTGGATGCTCCTGGGTGAGCCTGGTGGCTACTGACCTGACGGCAGTAGTGACACTACAGAGGGGCGGCTGCTCCCCCATAGTTAAGATTGTAATTGAGTGTCCACTGTAAAACTGACTTCTGTCCACTCCTAAAATTAAAAAAAAATTATATTACCCTGAATCTTAATGGGTTAGTTCTGTAACCCTGGGAGACTGTCACCCTGATAACTACTGTGATTCACATTAGGGGTTTATTCTCTGGGCCACTTGAAATATATGGTGGGTGAATGCAGTTCCTTAATTCTGTTCTTTTCCTTGTCACTTTCCAACATACAATTGATTCCCCGAGCGGAGATCTAGTGCCTTTTAACACTGGGCAAGGACCTTGCATAAGCAGCGTTGCCGTCTCTTGCAATATTTGGTGTGTTTCTTAAAGCCCCAGCTTCTGGAATCAGGTGAGTGGGGAGAACTTCTCTCTCTTACCCCCCTGCCCCATTTTTTTTTTTAAATGAAAGTTTCTAGCCCTCCTGGTTGGGTCACATCTTCAAACTTTCCTCCACAAGTGCATTGAAAAGGCTAAAAACACAGAAAGCAAATAAACAGAACCTAAAATGTATTCTTTAGAAATCTCCTGGGGAGGTTTTAAGCCAGTCTCGTCATTTTTGAACGCTGGCGGTTGGCAATACCGTGTAACACACCTTGTTTTCTTTTGGAAGCACACTGGGGGACATCCTCTCCAGTGTATTTACTTGCTCTTTTTTCAGGGAGTGCTGTATTGTTGTATCATACTGGGGCAGAGTTAAAGTTGTTAACGGCGTGTAAGTGCCTCGTGTGAGGAATGTGACCATAACTGCATTTCCTGGGGTTTGAATGTTCTCTTTTAAGCTAGCATTGGAAAGGTTACACATTCTTCAAACCCAGCTATGAGCATGCAACTTTCATGATGGATTCCCACTTAAAATGACATTGATCAGTCATTGCAATGCTGTAATTTAACTGGCTGATCTGCACTTATGTTGTGCTGATGTAGCTGTTTCAGCTAGAGGGGTGTGTGTGTTTATTAGAAATAAATACTGGTAAAAACCCTCTGGTGGGTGTGGTTCTATCAGTATAAAAATACATTATGCTGGTATAGTTACTCCCCTGCCTGCGGAGTAATAGTTACATCCGTATAAAACACATGTCGATATCACTGGGGAGGTGGTCCTGCTTTAACTTGATCACAATCAGGCCTTGACATCTGAAAGGGCCCTAGCTCTAAAGGATTTCCTGATGGGCTATGGGAATACAACTGGTTGTGGGTTCCCCTCTTCTCCCCCCCCCCCCACCTCCCAATCCTGTGGGTGGCAGGCTTGGACAGCCTTCTACAGCTAGTAACTAACAATATGTGGCATGGATTTACAGCATGACTATAAATAAGTATCAGGGGCGCTGCTGGACAATCCAGCTGTTTAAATGGCACATCTGTTAAGCTGCCAGTTCTGTGTTCATGCAGTAGTTTAGAGAAATATGATGGCACCAAACAACAAGCTGCTGTCCACACAACCCATCCGTCCATAAATCTTGGGGGCAGACATGCTAAGATGACACCAGACATTGCCTCAGGCTTTCTTTTGTAATTGGCTAATGTTCGCTTTGATTTCATTTCCCTTGGAGCTGGGCCTTGCCTAAGCCTTTGGCAGCACAAATGGACCAAAATGGAGGTGATTCATCT